CAATTGGTGGAGGCTCTTTAAAATATGTTATGTTTGTTGATCGCTTTACCCTTTACGTGTCTGGTCCCAATTTTCGATCCCGTTGTATGTTGATCTCTCCTTTTTAAATATATCATTATCACATTTATCCCAGCTTTCCTTCCATTCTCTTTGCTGAAACCGGTTGCATAAATACATTTTATCCAGATTTTGGCGCAAATATCACAGATCAATGTTGAGATCGTTGCAATTACGTAATGAGCGGGTTGACGACGTCGCAGTGAAGCAAGCGTCCGAATAACGAGCCGATCAGCATCTGTTCTTGGAAATAGATGACAGAAACCGAACCGGAAATTGTTGCGCCGTCGTTCGCATAGGGCTCGGTTATTACCCAAGAAATGCCGTCTTCCTAAATTTGTAATGTTTGTTTTCGTCACCTTGCTCGCCCCACTTGCATCCGAATCCTAAGAACTTGCGAGGCAGCCTTTATCCTAGCTTCCCCTGGATCGGAGAGATGAAAGAAGGCATCGTGGGCAACTGGCAATAGCGCTGTCCAGATCTGAAATATGTGTTTTGGGAAATATCTTGGATATCTTTGTATTTTATGCCGGAAAATTCAGTTCTTTGACGTACATCACCAGATTGCTCATCGATTTGGATGCCCATTGGCGATGACAGAAGCGAGATCTCCGTTTTCTGCGTCAGAGCCAGCGAAGGGGAAATGGAATAGACACGGATTGCCTGAAATTCAGCTTTAGATATCGCGTTCCCTTTAGGCGAACCTCAGATAGAATCAGCCCAACATGGAGCAGATTCCGCTTTGAATCAAAGGCCAGCCCGCCCGGCGTGGGTAGCCATGGAACCGCCGAAGAAACCGTTTTACCGTCAAATAGATACAGCGAGCCGGATGAAGCCTAGAGGTTAGAGATTTGGTTTCCGGTTCGATTCGGCAAGCGCAATACAACAAGATTGGCTTACCTGAAAGGCTGCCTCGGCCGTTTGCAACAGTATATGACGGGTATAATGGGTGTTTGTGACGAAGAACCGATCCGGCCCAACGACGACAATGTCTTGTAGACTAAAACGGGTGTGTTGGGTATAAAATCATCGCTGACCTCGTAAATTTGGGGTCGCAAATTGATTTCCGATGCGTGGCCACCCGCTTCTCGCGATTGTAGGAAAAGCTTTCCACACAATTCGGTTGCTGTGCCCGGTTGACGATGTACAGGTGAAGCCGTCCTTTCGATGAATAGACGCTCAACCCGAAAGGCGCAAAGTTTTTCTAGAAATATTTCGAATAAAGGCTGGGTATCACTAACCAATGAAAAGTTGTCGATCTTGACTTCTTGAGCATCATGGCGAACCGGTTGATCAGAAGGGGGCGGGAATGAGTAGGTGAAAAGCCCGGATTTAGTATTAGTAACACCTGAAGCGATAGAGCCGGTTGGAATCGAGCATGAGGGTGGATTACCTCGATATTTTGCCAACCCAGTGGTAATGAAAACAAGATTTTCGGCCGTCAAGAATTCTAGTCCTGCCGATCCGTTTGCTAAACGGAGCAAACTCGTTTTAGATATCTAGAAAACGTACTGATTTGGTGGATGAGTCGGCATGGGCCGGGCGCATGGTTGTATACTCGCTTGTTGAGGTCGACGAGCAATCTGAAGCAGACGTAGAGGTTGTTGTGTTTTGTATTTCCTATTTTAGAAAAGATTCGCTTACATGAATCTTACGATGGAGCTGAAGATGACGGCGAAAAGTACCCAGAGGGCCAGTTTATGTACCGCATGGCCGAGCGAAGTTGGGACCCTAGAAAATCGTTGTCGTTGGCTTTTGAGCTGGTTTTATCTGTTTTTTTTTATGTTTTTTAAATGGCTCACCCTAAAAACGACATTTTCACATCGTAGAGCGCTGATTTTTAGAATTGTTTCTGGATTAGGAGCTAGTTAGAAGTCGGTAAGGCGTAGTGAAAAGTCGGCAAGTCGTCGGTCGCCAAGGCAAAAAGGGGCACAATGGTGGCCATGGGTCCCTAGGGCATAAGGGACTAGGGTCCAGCCGGCTGGGATCAATAGGAACACCCTGTGGCCGGATGCCAGCTGACCGCTGCGCCAGCCGGTCAGCGCCATGCCTTGGAAATGCATTGAGACGTCGGGAAAATCACTTTACGGTAACTAAATAAAATGTCGATTTTTCTATTGGAATCGATAGATCTCGTCGAGTTCTACCATTTGCAGTTGAAAAAACTATTGGGACTCGCTTCTAAAAAAGTTATAAACATTTTAAATTGGCTGTTCCTTTACGGTAACTAAATAAATTCGATTTTCGACTGGAATCGTAGTCTCATCGAGTTCTTGCGTTTCCGTCGAGAAAGATTGGGACTCGCTTTTAACGAAAGTTATAAACGTTTTAAAGTGGTTGGTTCACTTTACGGTAACCTCGTAAAAATGCGATTTTCGCCTGGGATAAATAGATCTGTCGAGTTCTTGCATTTACAATTGAAAACCTTTGGGAAAGTTTTTTGGAGGAGGCTACACTATATTTTTGACATTTGACTGACATTTCGGGGGGGTCGCTTCGGATGGGCTGCCTTCTTTGAAATGGGGCCCGGCCCTCGCCGGCCTTGGCGCCCCCTTTCAAACCCTGTCGAGCTCGCACCCATCCGAAGCGACTGGCCCCCGGTGGCACGACCTTTTCTAGTCGCAGAGCGGGGAAGTAGCGGTCATTTCCTCATTGCGTGACTCCTTGCCGTCTTTTGTGTTTCAGAAATTCAGATTCGGAGGAGTGATGTGTGCTAATAAAGTTTTCCCTGCGCCTTTGCAGCAGCCTTATTTGGCACCCCAGTACGTTCAAACTATTACGTTTTTCCGTACAGGGTCCTCGTAGCCGAAACCGCTTTTTCGATGCGGGGTGAATTGGTTTAAAACAGCTATAACTTTTGTTGCTGTCCCATCCTTTTGCCAACGGGAAAGCGAGAACTCGATGAGATCTATCGATTTCAGTCAAAATCGACATTTTATTTAGTTACCGTAGTGAACTAGTCTATTTAATGTTTTACTTTTTTTGGGGTCCCAATAGTTTTTTCAACTGCAATGGTAGAATCGACGGTCTATGTTCTGTGAATTTTATTTTTCCGTAGTGAATTTGCCGAGCGTTGGTGGTGGTGGAAGTGGAAAGAAAGAGCAGAATTAGAAGAAAGGGGAGAGAAGACGCCCTGTAAATTGTTACAACCATATTAAAGACAAAAGTATCAGTCAAAAGCCTTAGAAAAAAGATTTAGGTTTAAGTTTTGGCGCGACATTATGTGTAGCGCCAATCTAGTTTCTAAATTAATTTTGTAAAATCAAAACTTTTAACACAATTTTTAAAACGTTGAGATTTGGAATGACTTGATTTCCGGTTCCCTAAAGCTCACTATTCCATCGTACCTGCGCTTTTTAGCAAGTTTTCAGAAAACAATGATGGCTCGTACAGCCCTTTTCGTTTTTTTCTACTCGTTTCTATGGATTTTGAGTCAAAATAATAGAAAACATTTCAGATGTACGCCGGAGAAGACTGTCCAAAGGTCGATCCTGTCCCCATAGACCCTCCTAAGGTAAGTAATACTATTATCTTTCCCAACCTTCCATTTCAGCGTCCCGCCCCGTCCTACACGTTCTGCAGCGAAATTCAACCCGGCTCCAAGCGAACGTCGTGTCTGAAGTTTAGCCCAGACGGCAGATACCTTGCTGTGGGCTCGCCCGATAAAACGGTACCTTTTTTGGTGATTACAATCTGTTTTCTAGTTGCGAATTTTGGCGCTTCATGAAGAGACGTGGGAGCCGATCGGCAATCGGGAATTTCTGGGCCACAAACTCGGCATCAACGACGTAAACTGGAGCCCCGATGCGCGGCTTTTGTGCACAGCCAGTGACGACAGAACGCTGCAGGTTTGGTTTCCTGTGTTAAAAAATTGCTTTTTATAGCTATGGAACGCGGCAACCGGAAAGCATGTAGGCTCCTTGCGGGGACACGACAACTACGCGTTTTGCTGTGCCTTCTACCATATCACTACGATATTTTCGGGTAATTTTTTTGGTTTTGCGGTGCTTGTTCGTTAACGGGGGAGCGAACTTCCAGTCTAACCTCTGTAAACCAAATATGAACTTTTTTTAGGTGTTTTTAGTAGCTTTCTATTACTAAGTAGTTCAGGAAACGTTTTCAAATTTCGTAATAATACGATTTTTGAGCAAAAATTCAAAAATTGAATAACTATAATAATTTTCTTAACGCGTCTGTCTGTCTGTCTGTGTGAAGCCGAATTCAACTCGAAGGGGAAAGGAGCTAGAGCTGCTCTCTTCAGTTCGGATAGAGCGTGGTCAGAAACCCCCAAACTGATAAAAAAATTATGAAAAAGTTTTAGTTTAAATTATTAAAATTAACTTTGAAAGTTTTTCCCTTAGTAAAAGGGGTGGGGGAGGAGGTTGGTGAGAGGTGGGGTTCGTGGATGAAAATTTCACGGGGATTTATTTCTTTTTCTCTCTATTCCATGGTGGTGTTATTTTCGTTTTTTAAAAGGATTTTGGTGGGGAGGTATCTAAAGCATCAGGGAGGTATTTAGGTAGTTTTTGAAGGGGATTTACATGGGGGTATCTGAAGATGGGAAGGTATTTAGGTAGTTTTGAAGGGGATTTACCCTTGGGGTATTGAAGCATCAGGAAGGTATTTAGGTAGTTTTTGAAGGGGATTTCAGCCCTGGGGGTATCTGAAGCCATCAGGAAGGTATTTGTAGTTTTGAAGGGGATTTACATGGAGGGTATCTGAAGATAGGAAGGTATTTAGGTAGTTTTTGAAGGGGATTTAGATGGGGGTATCTGAAGATCAGGAAGGTATTTAGGTAGTTTTTGAAGGGATTTAGCCATGGGGTATCTGAAGCCATGGGAAGGTATTTAGGTATTTTTTGAAGGGGTTTCGGCTATGGGGTGTAGAATAGGAGGGTAGGAATGATTAATGAAAATCGCTAATTAAATAAATTTTGGAACTTTTTATTACGAAAATGACCGTAGCAAAACCACCCGCTAACGAACCAGTACCGGTTTTGGACGATTCAACGGGTTTTAGGCGGGTTTGACGCGCTTTTGAGAGTGTGGGACGTGGCGACCCAGAGCAGCATACGCACCATCTCAGCCCACACGGAACCCTTGTCGTCGGTGGCGACAGTTCGGTAATGTTCTCAGCTTTGCTTTTGATAAGTATATTTTAGACATGGCAACCTCATGGCGACAGCTAGTTATGACGGGCTGGTGCGCCTTTGGGACACGACGTCCCTGAAGCTGGCCAACACGCTGAAGCCGGTTGACGACGACAAATGGCCCGTCTCGTTCGTCCGCTTCTCACCAAACGGCAAATTTGTGCTGGCCGGATACCACAATAGGTGCGTTGTAAAAGTTGTTGGTACTGGTCTTTTAGCGGGGGTGGGGCTTGGCTCTTTTCCTGTATAATCCCAACCTCAAGGAATAAACACATTTATATAGCTCTTTAGGCCTTTGTCAAGTATAGAAAGTTGCACTACATTTTTTGAAAAATTTAGATAGTTACAATTAGTCAAAAAATTTAACACCTTTAAATTTTGGAAGCGTTTTTATATCTTTTTACGAATCAAAAACGATAGAAAACTTAGGAGAAAAAATGATAGACTGCTCAAAACAAGACAGAATGCTAAAAAAAATGCTATACCTAAGCTAGATAGCTCATCACACCTCTCGACCCGCTAATAGCCCAGGACCAAGTGTTACGATTTTTGTTATTTAGCAAAATACGACTATGGGACGTGAACAACGGAAAGGCGTTGAGGATATACGAGGGTCATCAGCAGTCAAAATATTGCACGCCAACCCACTTTGCGATCACTGGCGGAAAGGTGTTTTTTTTAAGTGATTGGTTATTTTCGATTTTAGTACATCATAAGCGGTTCGGAGGACGGAGATGTTGTCGCGTGGGATATGCAAGATACCAGCATTCTCCAGAGATGGCGTGCCCATGAGAGTACGTTTTTCATGGATCATTCCATCTGGTTAAATATTTCTAAATTTTTTTTTGCTATTCCGAAACGTCGAAACTTCACAACTTTTCATTAAAAATACAAAAATTCCGACTTTGCAGCCATAAGGGCTTATCTAGGCCTGTAGGAAAAGCATGTTTGCTTTATTTACACTTTGTTTAGGCTGCCTAATCGCCAGCGATTGCCACCCGCGTACGAATCTGCTCGTGACCGCCGCCCTCGATGACGACTATTCGATTAAACGATGGACATCTCCGCAATGAGCAGCTACAGAATCGATCGTACCATGCCCTTGTTGCCATTCCTCCCCTCGTACATTTATTGACTTGTCGCCTGTTTTCACATGTTGTTTGCGGGTATTGTATTTCGTGCGTTGTGCCTATGTGTAAAACATAAATTTATTTGCCATGGTTTGCTGGGGACCCGTTTTCAGGCGTTACCTCCATTCTGCGTATGAATCGATCACCATCCGTTCCCTAGCCAATAGCGAATTTAGGCTGGACAGCATCTAAAAAAGTTTAGAATGGTTGAAATAGCTGTTTTGGCCTACTTTAGGTGAAGCACGTGTCAGATGGTCTTCCAGGACTTCGACGCAATTCTAAAATTTACATTTAGTCGTTCGTTTCTTTCGCATTATCGGGGGGGATGCGGCAATTTTCCAAGTATCCAATTTGCTATAAATAGACGAAGTGTTTATGAGAAGAGATCTGTTTCTTAATTTTTCTAAACGTAAAAACTTTACAAATTTTCTTTCGAAAATACAAAAACAGCGATTTTCGACCAACATTTCAGCTAAAAAATGGTTCTAACTTTTTCTTGATTGCTTTTCCGTTTGATTAACAACACGAGTAAAAAGCTCATTATTAGGTTACTAGACAGTTTTGGACCTGTTAAGCCATACCGTGAACTTCGGCCGTTCCTCAGGCGTCTCTTTCCAGGATTCGAGCATTAGGTGGTAGCTAAAGTATAAAAAAACAGCGTTTTTCGTTTTTTAAACGTCTTTAGGCAACCTACAGCTCCTCGTGACAGTACACAGGCCGTGGATTCCGTTCGCCGTTCGTTACCCGTTCTGGCACCTTGTCGTCCGGCATTCCGGGGTAGGGCAGACCGCCCAGGGTAAAGAGCTCGTAGAGCAGAATGCCGTACGACCAGACGTCTGACTGTAACGGCGAGTTTCTAGTTGTTAGACCTTTTTTAAATTGTTAATTCCCTCCTATATTGATGAAATCGTGGTTTTTGAGTTACTAGCTCATTTTTGGACATTAAAAGTTGAAAATTAACTTTAGAAATATCCGAAAAGCAGAGGTTAGTTTTCTCTAGCTTTAAAGCTCGTAAAACGCTTTCCACCAACGAACCGCTTCCGAAAAATACAGATTTTGCATCGCCTCCGGGCTCATCCAGCGCACCGGCAGCGGCACGTCGAAGCTGTTTTGGATTCTGAAGCGATAGGTTACCGTGTAGTTTATATTTATAGTTTTGTAAGCCATTTTAGGCCATTAAATACCTGTAGTATTCCTTATTGCTCTTGCGCGCCAGCCCGAAATCAGCTATTCGGATGAGGTTATCCTTTGTGACAAGCACGTTCCTGGCGGCGAGATCACGATGGAGGCACTGAAGTCGAAATAAAATAACAAGAAATGTCTGCTAACGTAAGAATAAGTTTTTTTAATAGTTTCTTTGCTAAAATTTTAACTTGATTTTGGTGGAAAAACGATTTCAAAAACCGTAAAATTTTCTAAAAAATTTTAAATTTGCGCAGAAAATCTGTATTTTTTTTGTACTTTTAAATGACTATAAAGTTTTTACGTTTAGTTGGTAGTAAAAAAATATAGAAAAAGCTTACAGGAATACTCGTCAAAAATTCCATCCCCAACGCAATCTGATAGCCAAAGGATAGCAGATCGGAGGTGGACAGCCGGCTGGCGATTTCCTGGATTTCTTGGCCCTCTTCTGACTAAATCGGGGTTACGGTATCCGGACCACCTTACAGCATATGAGCACTTTTTCACGGCGGCCACGCCCAGGTAGCCACCATCGCCCACTTGGTTGTCCTAAAGGTTTTTAGGACGCATTTAGAGGCCTGCCATCGAAAAGACGAGCTCATCCCGGAATCTGGCTTTGCCCTCCTTCAACTTGTCGATGAGGCTGCCCTCGCATCGCTCGAGGATCACGTAGATTTCTCCACTAAAAGTAGTTTTAATAATCCTTTTTATGGTGTTAATAATCTAAAAAGTAATAAAGAAAAATAATTAATATTAATTTATTAATAAAAAAAAATAAAAATAATTAAATATATAATATAAAAAAAAATAAAAATAAATAAAAATTATAAATAAAATAAAAAAAGTTAATTGAGCGTTTTTGGAATTTTTCTAGCCGTTAAAGGGACGTTTTTAAAGACTGTCTTCTTATTTAAAAATGAGAAAAATAAATTATAATAACGGATTCGAGATAAACACCATTTTTTAAACCCGAAACTCACAGGTCGAAGTTGGTGACAGCCCCAACAAGCGTGAGAATATTTGGGTGTTTCGGGATGTTGCTCATGATCTTCAGCTCCTCGTACAGTATCCCCATCTCGTCGTGATTTCCGTTGTGTTTTGGGGCCTAGAAAATCATTTAAATTAGGAAAAAATTCAATAAAAGCCAGTCAAACGAAATTCTTTAAATTTTCCGCTAACAATAAAAGCCGTATTTTTTTGCCCAAACAAAAAATTAGAAAGGTAGAAAACATATTCCTGATTCGGATAAAAAGTCGCTGAACCGCCCACCTTGACGGCCACCGGCAGCATGTCGCTGATGTGAGAGTGAGGGCCATCGCTTGGGCCCTTTGGCCGCAGCACCCAGCCCATACACACTTTCCCGAAGTGTCCGTCCCCGATCTAAAAAATGGATTTTTTACTTAGCCTAAGCCAAAGCCTAAGCCTCAGCCTAAGCAAACCCTAAACCCACGATTCTGCCGAGCTTCAGGTTGTCCAGCTGGATCTCGAACTTCTTGTCGTAGTAGATCTCGTTCAGACGCTAAAATGGGTATATTTAGTTAATACCTGAGATACCTCTTCTATAGGCTGTTTCTTGGCAAACTGAGGCCTGGGATAGGGTTCAGGAGGCGGAGACTCGCTCATCGACCGCATTGGGGAGACGCTGTTTGGCGCCAGGTAGTACGGTAAGTCGGTGCTTTGGGAGTCGCGGGACTTGTAGGATTGAGACCTGAAGCGGAACAGAGATCTTACTCTCTCTCTCTCTCTCTCACTCTCGCTCTCTCGCTCTCTCATTCACTCTCTCTCACCCTCTCTATATCTCTCACTCTATCTCGCTCTCTCCCTCTCTCTCTCTCTCTCTCTCTTGCTCTCTCTGGTTCTCTCGCTCTCTCGCTCTTCATTCTCTCTCACTCTCTCACTCACTCACGCTCTCTCTCTCTCTCCTTCTCTCTCTCTCTCTCTCTCTCTCTCTCTCTCTCTCTCTATCTCCACCCACTTCAACTCCACATCATTAATTTCGGGCAGAGTAGCGGGCTTTGACTTGAACCGCTCCCTAACCCGATCTCGGCAGAAGTAGACGAATAAGATGATGGCTAAGGGCAGACCAATAAGAAGTAGTGCTCCCATGATTATTAACTAAATTAACGGTAAAACGGTATACGGTAGAAAACTACCGGAAACTTGAACCCGCTGCCATCGCCTGTGGCTGTAGATGGTATCACGACGCTCGTCTCGTTCTGATGATCATGGCGCTCCTTGAGCACGACCTCACGGATTGGGGCAAGGACAGACGTCTCGAACACATTTCTAAAGGCCGAAATCCGATACCGTACTCAGGTTCTTTGGCATTATCGGGGGGAGAGGATTTTTTTCTTAGGAACACTGTTTTTAAAGCTAAACAGCGGAAGTGTCTCTATCCGGGTTTTTACTATTCCTAGACACAAAAACTTGACAAAATTAAAAAAAATACAAAAATATAGATTTTTCTACCAAACAAAGGCGATTTTTGACCAAAATTTCGATATTTTGAAAATTTTCAAAGTTTTAGATAATTCTTCTAGTTAAATTCTAGCTTTTTTTTGCTAAAAACTTTGCAAAAATACCTCTTAATAAGTTACTAGGCATTTCGATCAATACAAAAAATTGCTAATTACCCCCCCGATAATGCGAAAGAACCAGTAGTCTTTTTTCGTTTCCTTCTGGGTCCCGCAGCGACTTCTGAATTTTTGAAAAAATATTAAAACCCTTTAAAACGCACTCCCATTCTTGCTGAATCTTGTTGACGTGGCCCATCGTGGCGGTGGTGAGAATTCCGAGGAGCACCGCCGAAACGAGCCGGCCCGCCCTCACATTCCCGGGCATCAACTAGGGCAGGGAAGAGGCAGATTGGCGCTTACAGTTTCCTGGAAATTAGCATAAAATCGATGGTAATTGAAGCGACAATTTGCATAGGCATGAAGGTGATGCTCAGGCTTCATTTTCCATCAGAGAACTCTGAAAAACTGGTTCCTGGGATGGCTCGGCATTTAGGGGAGCCTTATTTACATAAATTGCATAATCATGATGCTATTAATAACAAAAAAAAAGCCTGTTTTCAATGAGAATTTTTCATCGTAGCAAATTACAATATGCTCTGGGTTAACTTGCGCCCTTAAGTGAGCTACCTAATCAGCAATTTTTAATATCAGACCAAGATATCGATTTTAGGCAATGTTCTAACAGAGGCAATATGTAAATTAGTCGGAAAGTGGCGTAAATCACTATTTAAAACCTATAAAAAATTAGATTAAAAATGTCACGCTTGATTTTCGGATTTAAATCGAAATCTTTGTTTTTCTAAAATGACTATGAGAGAAAGAACTGAAAATTTTCAAAAGCGGAAGGAGATCAATATTTTAAATTTTCTAAATAGATCTTTTTATTAGATAAAGCTCAAATCAATAAAATAAAAAACAAAAAACACTATAGTCGGTCGGTTTTGATCGCGAAAAGTTGGGAAACGCTCAGGATGGGGCGCGGAAAGCGCAAAAAAGGGGGAAAGAGGGTAGGGATAGATTGGATAAACGTCGACAGTATTGATTCGTAGGGGGAGCCTGTTTTATAAAGGGGACGTTGTGTTTAGCAAATTGCGTCGAAAATTGAGAGGATTTTCTTGGAATTACAGGGCTTTCGTAGCGTGCGGTGTTTTGGGTGATTCAGAGGAATGAGGTAGACAGCTCAGGGGGGGGAAGCTTTGTTTATAAATAATGCTTTTGGGTGTGATCTTATGCTTTTTGTCTCTTTCTCGCGCTCTCTCGCTCTATCTCTCTCGCTCCATCTCTCTCGCTCTATCTCGCTCGCTCTTTCTCTCGCTCTCTATCTCACACGCTCTCTCGCTCTCACTCTCTCTTCGTTTCGCTCGCTCTCTCTCTCTCTCTCTCTCTCTACAAAAATTCGACGCATCAAAATATTTATGCGTAAAACGGCCCAAAAAATAGTTTTTAGATCCAATCGCTCCCGGTTCGACCGAGTTCAGAAAGTGGCGGATTCCTAAAAAATCGTATTTTTTGATATTTCTAAAGTCATTTTCTAAATACCGTAACCTACCGTAACCGTTGGCGCATTATAGTGGGCCGGGTGAGCATTCGGGGCCCGCAGAAAATCACTATAGCCACAACGGACAATGGGAGCAAGAAAAGGAGCACCATTCCCGAGATTATGACCTGAAAAGCCAAAGCCTAAGCCCAAGTCTAAGCCCAAACCTAAGCCTAAGCCAAGCCTGAGCCTATGCCATGCCAAACCGGTGCCAAACCTACCGTAATCCACATCGGATCCCGTGCGTCCGGCGGAAATTCACGCATTTTTGAGAGTTTTTAGAAAGCAGAAAAATTCCAAGAAAATCCGAAGCTCTATAAAATCCCCCGTTCAGACCCGCGGAGGGGTGTTGAAAAAGTAATTTCAGATAAGCTCCCGAGCGTTTTTCCGCGAGGCTACGTAATGACGCGGCATAAAAAGGGGTTCATTTTTCTGCCTCTCGCTCTCACTTTCTCTCTCTCTCTCTCGCTCTCGCTCTCTCTCTCTCTCGTTCTCATTCGCATTTTCAAGCTGAAAATCCAGGTTCAACGTATTCAATCCTTTATTCTGCCCGTAAATTCGATAATTGTCTATGCGTCGTCGCGTAGTGTCGCGTAGTCGTACCTCAATAATCGCTGGAAAACAGCCGCCGGAACCAACGTGAGATCCTGTCTACTAGTGAGGGCAGGGCTTGGCAACGGCCATCGTAACAGCTGAAAATTGCGTTTTGGAGAGAGAGAGAGAGAGAGAGAGAGAGAGAGAGAGAGAGAGAGAGAAAGAGAGTGAAAGAGAGAGAACATAGAGTGAGAGAGACAGAGTGAATAGGAAAGAGAGAACTATTCACCTGCCCTCATAGCAAATATCAAAAGCCTCATAACCCGTGCAGTTTCCGCCCAATTTCACTTTGGACTGGCAGCGGGGCCGGTCGAAATTGGCCGTATCGCAGAAGAGGTACCTTAAAAAGTATGGGAATTGTGCTAAATTTAGCATTAAAAACAGTAAATGCAAACTAAGGGCTTTTTGGCTAATTAAAAAAATACCAAAATACCCACTTCGACCCACAATCCGGCCGCGCATTCGAACACCTTGGCCTTGGCGCGATTTTGTACATTTTATCCGTATACGCGTTGAGTAGTCCGTCCCTTGAAGTGTCGTTAAAAGACCATTAAAGCCATAATTACTGTATTTTTCTCCCGGGCAGGTTGTGCATCGTAGCATTGGCAAAGTGGAGCGGCGGGAAGCAGTCGGGGTACGGTTCTGGGTACTGTACCTCGCGCTCCTCTCGGGTCTAAAATTGATCACTTTAATTTTCGTATTTTTGCTAAAACCTGAATTTTCTGGCGCCACATCTCCCAGATGAAATCGACGAAGGTGTGGTGCCAGAAGAAGATGACGTCATTTGTACTGGAATCGAAAAATGTGGCCCGATTTTTTGCTCGCATTCTTTCTCTCTCTCCCTCTCTCTCTCTCTCTCTCTCTCTCTCTCTCTCTCTCGCTTACTACGCTCTTCAGCTTTTGGCAGCAAGCTTTAACTCAGTCACTTTCTCTCGCGTCTCCAGCTTTTTCTTGCTCTCCCCACCCAGCTCACGCTCACTTTAGCCACCTCGTGCTTGCTTTAGCCATATCGTGCTCTCTCGCTCTCTATTCCATCTCCTATCTTCTTAGCTCTCTCTCTTTCGCTCTCTCTCTCTCTCGCTCTCGCCCTCTCTCTCACCTCGAATACGTCGTCTCAAAATCCCCTCCAATAAAGTAGTGCACATAGTCGTGGGAGAACTCGAAGAACCTCTCATCCAGCGGGTATTGCCTTAGCAATGGGCATGTCTGCCGATAGTAGATTAGGATAGTATGGATACCTCTAGGGGGAGAGTGGCCGACAATACTCCCTCAATTTCCTTTTGATCCAGTAGAACATCAATGCGAGCCTCCGTGAATAATTCGCCTTGGGAGTTGTTGCCGAGGGCTCGGCGGGGCATTAGGTTTCCCTAGAAATCGGAAATTTAGCTATCTCTGTCTCTCTCTTGGTCTCTCTCGTTCTCTCTCTAACTCTCACTCTCTCTCTCTCTCTCGCTCTCTCTCTCTCTTTCACCTACCTCCATAGTACTCATATTGGCATAAGGACCGTAGACTAATAGTCCATCCTCGTCGACGTCGCCGGTAAGATGCTGGAAAATTAACTTTTAAGGAATTGGGACAGCTAGTCGTTTGCTTAAAGAATCTCTGCTAGCCTGCTTTTCTTCAAAGAATCTCTGCTAGCCTGTCCCACCACGCTGAAGAAAACGGAATCCTCGACGGTTGGTAGATAAGCATCTAGAGTCGAGTCCCAGTAAGGTAACCCCAGGGTGGAGCCCATTGGCAGGAAGGTGCGGAGCACGAGCTCGAAGCTGGAATGGAGGGGTTGGGAGAGGAGCAGGAGCTTAATTCGCGGCTTAAGCAAAGCCTAAGCAAAGCCTAAGCATCCTTTGAGAGAGAGAGAGAGAGATAGAGAGAGAGAGAGACAAATAACAAGAATGAGAGCTACTTACCGTTTCAAATATTCTCGATGCCACGGAAAGAAGCCGGGTCCGGAGTGTACGCCCGCATACCTATGAACCCTCCCAAGTCTCTTGTATATCCCAGAATCGCTCATGGCCTTTATCGCCTCCTAAATTCAAGAATTTCCTCTCGTGTCTGAGCTCCACCTCAAATTGATGGCGCTCCACATCCGTGAGTGAGCGGTACTCCTTGCGGACGGCCGGCTTCAGCTCGTCGCCATTGGGGAGCACGCATGCGTCGTCGAGGACGCTGCCTGAAGGGGGAAATAGTCACAATCCTAAGCCCAAGCCCAAGCCTAAGCTCGAGCCTAAGCCTAAGCCTGGCTAGGCTTAAGCTCTGGCTCTGAACTTTTAAAGGGATAGTGCCACCAACCATTGAAAAACGGGCAGACGCACAGCAAATCGAGACAGGGCAAGTACTTCAGCTCGGCCTCCGTCCAATTGTGAGCCACAAAGACGTCATTATCAGGCAGGCTGTGCTTGCCAAAGTCGGACTCATTCAACTTTGAGAGTAGTACCTTAATTATAGAAATAACCTATGAAAGTGAAAGAGATTAGCTCCTTCTCTCACCCTCTCTCCCCTCTCTCTTTCTCTCCCTCTCTCTACCTCTCTCTACCTCTCTCTCCCTCTCGCTCGCCCCTCTCTCTCTATCTCTCTCTCTCGCTCTGCCTCCCTCTCTCTCACTCACCGGCGCATGTCTTGGATGTTTTACTCGAAAATACGGCTGAGTACTGGCTCCGTAGTACAAATGCCCATTAATATACGTAGTGTCATATATGGAGAATTCCTTCGGAAGTCCATCCAAGAAATTGAATAGATATAGGAATATTACAGCTGTTAATGGTGGCCTGGGCATCCTGAAAAATCTGATCAGCTTTCAACATAGAAGAAAATGTTAAGCCTCTTTTTAAAGGGGCATTCAAGGCAAAATCTGCAGAAAAATAGGAATCTTTCGGAAATACGCCAGTTTTGGCAACTCAAAAACTTAAAATCAGCATTTTGTCGAGCCTTATAGTGTACTTTGGGTCTGGCGAATTGCCTGACTAATTTGGGGAGGAACGGAAAGAGAAAAGAGGCGGAAATGGAAAGGGATTTCCCCGAATTTGAGATATGATGGCGCTAGACGAATGGGTGAGTCAGAGCGGTCGAACACGGAAAAGCAGGCGTTTTTTATTGGGATTAACTTGAAAGTACAATATATCGGAAAAGAGAGAGAGAGCGAGAGAGAGAGGGGGAGAGAGAGACAAGAAAAATTATAGAGGAATAAAGAGGATATGTAAACAAAGGGAAATAGATGGATGAGAGAGATGTATATAAGCGAGAGCGAGAGCGTGCGAAAGAGAGAGAGAGACAGAGAGAAGGAGAGAGAGGGCGAGGTAGAGCGAGAGAGAGAGAGCGAGAGAGAACGAAAGACAGAGAAAACAAACAGAGACAGACTAGAGAACAGAAAAAAAAAGTGGGTTTTTAGTTGATGATAGATAAACAAGGTCAACATCAGATAAAGCAAGAAATTCCTGTTTAATGGGAAACAACTAGCAGAGATCTTTGCGGAATTAAAGGGAGCATGTCATGGAATTTTCGGTGCGCCCCAGGTCAGCTAGCAAAGGTCATTGAGGAGCAAGTTTCCTCGAATAAGCCAGGATTTCAATTCTAATAAGTGACTAGCCATCGGTTTATCTTCCGTAAACTAGAAAAAAGCACGCCGCGATACACTGGCCCCCGACTTCGGCCTCTATGAATCGATGCCGCCCCCGTTTACTCGGCCGATCATATCCACCCAGATATCCTCCCCCCTCCCAATTCCAACCCCACCAAAAAACCTCGCGAAATGAGACCGATTTGGGGGATATCACTTGTATGTCGTCATTTGGCAACCTATGTTCTCTGTGTTTTCCAAAATGTTCGCCCAATAAAGTACAAAAATACATCCCTTGTATGGTAGAGATCGGAAAAGACCACCCTGCGGCCGAAAGACCACGGTTCGACCTTCAAGAATCTTTGATTGCTCTCTATTTTTCGCTCTCTCTCTCTCTCTCTCTCTCTCTCTCTCTCTCTCTTTCTCTCTCTCTCGCTGTCTCTCTGTCTCTCTTTCTCTAGCCCTCTAATTACTGTGGAAAATTTTCTGTAAACGATAGATGACCTTTATTATTTACACACAAACACATAAAAATATATGGAAAATAAAGAGATGCGATATTTTGGAGTAATTTAGTATCGATGGGGTTGATTTTGGTAGGTCGGCTCGACGTCGGCCCCGTATCTGGAATGAATTTTTTTCCTCTCTCCCTATGGCTCTTTCTCTGTCTCTCTCTGTTTCTCGCGCTCTCTCTCTCTCCCTCTGTTTCTCTCCTACCTGCTCTCCTCGTTTTCCTGGTTGTAGAGGTAGAGGTGGCCGAGTTCAGGGGCTCCGTGCTTATCATCAACCGGCATTTTTCCTACGGTGGTCCAGTGACTCTGGAAGATAAATGTTGATATTTGCCTCACTCTCTCTCTCCCCCCTCTCTCTCTCTCTCTCTTTCTAACCCCTTTAAACCGACGATTTGACCCCGGAAGTCGCGCTGATCCGTACAAGAGATGATGGATTCCGTTCCACTGCTGTTTCCAGGCACATCCCCGCAATTTCGTCTTTCTCTCTCTTTCTCCCTCTCTCACTGACCCTCTCTCTCACTCTCTCCTTACCCGTTTCAAGTTATCTGAAGGATAACCGGTGCGGAGCTTCTCGTACTGCTGGAGGTGCCTGGAAAATAGATATTTATAAATCGATATATTGATATTAAAGTCGTTCGAGATACCAGTGCCGATTTTTCAACGCACTTGTACAGCTTGTAGACAATGTAGAGGAAGAAGCACTCGAGGATGGCGATCGCCGGGTAGATGACGATGATCATGATACCCAGCAAAAAGGTGGCTAAAAAAGTGATATAATAAAACGAAAAATGGTTATGCAGGTTTTCGACAGCAGAAAGGTCAACAGATCCATTAACCCCCAACCTTCACACCAAAAAGCAAAAAGAATTGCGTCGGCCGGGAATCGAACCCGGGTCGCCCGCGTGGCAGGCGAGCATTCTACCACTGAACCACCGACGCGGTGCGGTCGAGTGGCGAGGAAAGGGTTAGGAGGAGAGGGAGGGCAGCCCGTAGGGGTGATAGGGGTGCTGCCAGAGGCGCGTAACGGGTTTTTGGGAGAAAGCGGATTAGGGGGCAAATTTCACAGGATTTTTCCTAAAGAATCTTTGCTAGATAGCCTTGAATTTTCAATAACTTATTAATGTGGTATACAGCTGGTAATTTCCTACAAATTCCTGCAAGTTTGCCGGGGTTTTTAATCGATTACAGGAAGTTATTCGTGGTTTTGG